CATTTTAATTACTCCCTTGTTTCTGTTTAAACTTTGGCCCCAGGAAGACTCTGATCTTCCATTAGGATTCAGAGTTTCCAAGCAAAAACGTTTGGAAGGTTTGAAGAAACAGACTATAAAAACAAAGGAAGATAGATAGCAATATCTGTTTCTGGAAGTCGAGTATGAAAAGCTAGAAACATAATTCTTAATCCAAACATTATCAAGGAAAGAAAGTCCATTTATGATCCTAACCACACTGAAGGGTACAATGAATAATCCCAAAACAAAGAAGAAAAATCGAGTAACCTTAGGAATAATTTTCCCTCTAGACTTGTTCCATGGTGGAATTCTTTTTATAAAAACAGGTGATCAAATAAAAAGTCTTGGACACCCAATTTGATCCTTGTATGATAATAGTTTTCCTCTAAAGGAAATGGCTGTAAGAACACTGGCGTGACCACTTGCCAAGGCATGAGCTAGATGATCCACAAGGCTTTTCTGTCTTGAATTTCTTGACCCTGGTATTCATAATTTTCCCTGCTTCCCCCCCCATCACTTAATGCAACTTCTGGAAACTTGTGTGAAAAAGGCCTATGTTGGAAATAGCTTATTAATTGATTGCAGAGGGAATGAAAACTGCCTATAGATATTCTTTTAGCGCCTGCTGTATTCCAGTCTCTATTCCAAGGTGAAAGTTTAGCACCATAACTCCTAACAAACCTAATGCCTTTGTTGAAATATATAGGAGTAATGTATATATAGCATGCTTGATTCTTTAACCCCTCAGTGAAAAAAAAAAAAAAACTTCATTATATAATAAATGAGAGGGTGCAATGTAAGAACCATGACACTCAGGGTGATTTGTGCATTCACTAAGCAAAAAGTAATTTATAGGAGTCTTCAAAAAATTTCATGAGAAACGCATATGATTGGAAACAATTCGTGGCTTTCACATTTTTTTTACACCAAAATAAACTTATCTTTTCATTATTTTCTAGGTGCTTTTAGAAGTACCATCATACTGTTGCTATCAGCTTCATGTTCTCACTTTGCAGATTATGTGGCTATGTTTATGCACAGAGGGCAGAAATGAAGAGTGAAAATGGCCAATAGGCCCATTTCTGTCCTATACAGGTAGCATCAATGTGTGTACTCTAATACTACCTTTTTAAAAAAATATGAAATACAGAATTATAGAGGGTGGTATGTGTGTGGTAGGGGGAGAGACACATTGAGAGATACCGTCCATTCGCGGGTTCACTCCACACACAGCTGCAAAGACCAGGCTTGGGCCAAGTTCAAGGCAGCAGCCTGGAACTCAATCTTGGTTTCCCATTACTTGGTTTCTATTACTTTCCCAGGGCATTGGCAGGAACTGGATCAGAAGTGCAGCAGCTAGGACCTGAACGTTGCTCATATTGGATAGGGGCATCAGCTTAACCTACTACGCACAACATTGCCTCTCTAATATTTATCTTACCAGTTGGAGGCAACAAGAATCCCAGAGCCTGGAATAAAACTTTTCAGTAGGTAGGTTTTGTCTGGATATACTCAGGGTACAGTCCTAGAAGCACTACAACATCCACATGATGCAAATTGTGCTAGCTGTTGGTGATGGCAAGAGAGCCCGTGGAGATCATACACTCAAGAGTTGTGCAGTTTTCAGGAGGTCGTGGACACAGCACCCAGCCACTTAGGACGCAAGTCAAAGTCTGGACTTACACTGTGAACAAAGCTGAGGGCTGAATGTCTCAAACTTGACCATGGGATGTTATAAACTATAAATTTCATGAATATTGACAAGTGGCTGTAATATATTAAAAGTCTGGTAGAGGTAAATGTTTTTCTCTTCCTGAAAACATCAAAAAAATTGCATTTACGAGTGAACTTTATAAAATGTTATTTGAGAGGTAGGGAGACAGAGTCCCCAGCTGCTGGTGTACTGCCCTAATTTCAAGGCTGGCTAGGGCTGGGCTGGGCCTGGCCAAAACCAGGAGCCAAGGATGCAAACTGTATCTCCCACATGGGCGGCAGGGTCCAGTTCACCGAGGCCTCATTGCTGCCTTCCAGGCTCAGAACAGGTGGGAAATTGCAAGCCCGAGATGGCACTGAGGCCTGAACCCCCATTCTGATATGGGTTGGATGCACCTTAGTGGGTGTCCCCTGAAGGGCGAATTCCCTGAAGTGAGAAGTTAAGACTATTTCTAATTTACAAATTTAATACACGATTAATATTGGGTTTCAAAATGTTAAATTATGTGTCAAGATACTTAAGATACTGCATGCCAAAAAAGAAAAATCGCCGAAACAGTTTTCAAAGTACCACTCAGTTAATTTTGCACAATGGAGTTGGTACAAGTTTTAATGTCTAGAAAGTGGCCCTCTCTATGCAAGGTACCTATCCTGAGACCCCCTGGCAAATGTCGGGGGTCTTGGAGAGTGCTGACCCTCATGTTAGCACACTTGCTTTCAGTTTCATCTGAAAACATTCCCATGTAGCCCCTGCTACCTTGGAGAAAATGCTTCTCATACAGTCTACATGTCAGATCCTGTTGCTTTTCACAAATTGTTTTTGCAAGGGCAGTTATTAAGTTGCTTTTTAAGCTGAGAACAGGGGAGCTGAATCTGCACGTGCATTCAATCTTTCCAGTTTGAAATTCATTTTACTTTAACAATTGGATTTGCAACAGCATTTCCCCAAGCGTCCTCCACCAGAGGACAAAGCATTCTAACTGTCACACAAGCATGCCTGAAGCCTCACTAGTCACAATCCATTTGTGAAATTAAGGTCCCTGGGAAGTCAGAAATAAATAAATCCATTTCATCGTTGTTTATTTGAGTTGTTCACAAACTTCACTTGGCTGAGGGATTTTTTTTTTTCTGGTAAAATATTTAACATTCCAGGGAATACTTTGGGAAATGCTGCCGCATACACTGATAGCCATATTAATAACTTATTCGGAGTCGAAGGAATGTAATTACTGTATGCTGGAAATCAACAACGGTCTTACTGGGGGCCATGACTGTGGGGGTTGTGAAATCAGCCGAGTCCATCCTCGCCACTGTTTGGGAAAAAGAAAAGGCGCAGGAAGCATGGCATCCTGATTCGGGTAATTTCTGTGGGACCACCACAGCAAACGCACCTCGGTGAGCATGTCTAAATGGGTTTCAAGCCAGCGCTTGCCTGAACGTCGGAGATAACAGATGTCTGAATGTTGTAAAAATCAACACGCAAGGGGCTACTGGCAAACCCAGGCTTGATGCATTATTTGTTATTACTTGACAATCAGAATTTCACAGCTGAGCTATCTCATAGGGGAGAAACCGAAAACAGATTCACCGACTTTTCAAGGTCAGAAAGCTGCTGAGTGGGCCTAGGAGCCAGTTCTGCTGCACTCTTATTTTTCTCCTTGCTGTGTAAATGGAGACAACTGACATCTCTAGGATGGTTCACGTTATTGTTCTTTAATGAGTAAGAAAACCAAATGTAAAGTTCAGCAAATCATTCTTGGATAGCAAATCAATGACAGGTTACCAAAAACGCTCTAGATTGCAGTAAAAGGAAAAATGTGACACACAGATATTGAGTTCTGGTGTCTAATTGTCATGCCACCTAATAACTAATTAACTTAATGTGAAGCTGTGTTATCCGGTGGGGCCATTCAGTTACCTGATTACCTGTTTGTACATACAACCCTTTCTGGAAATAGCATTTGGAGAAGGCTTAGCAGATGGTTCATCAGCGAACACACAGTCCAAGTTAAAAGCACCATTTTCACCGACTAGGAACCAACAGTGAATCAAATTTATAGAAAAGTCTCCCAAATCACGTTGTGTGTTTGCAAAACCAGCAACTCCTGTTGAGTCCTTGAAGCATCTTACAGGGAAACATTAGTTTCGGTGCTTTTTATTTGCGGCAGGCCGCGTGGGGTGGGGTGGGGGAGGCTGTTTCCAGGTGAAGATGCTCATCTACACGTTTCTCGGACACCCGGGCGGCGGAGCGGGACGGTTCTGGAGTCCCCTTCCTCCCGCGGCGCCCCGGGCCAGGCGCCCGCTTGCAGCCCACCCCTGGGAGTGGCCTGAGCCCCGGAGTGCAGCCAGCTCCCAGGTCGGTGGTGCCGTCTCCGCGCAGGCAGCCCCGGGCCGCCTGGGCAGCCAGCCTCTGATAACTTAATCTCGGTGCCAGCCGGAGACGCGAGGCCTGTGGTGTGCAGGGATCCAACGGAAGCATCCGAAGAGCCCGAGGAGGGGACGCCTTATCGCTCACAACTCCTCTAGACCAAGAGAGCAAAAAAAAAAAAAAAAAAAAAAAACCAGAGCAGAAGCCGCAGCGCCCCCCGACCCCCCGGCCTCCCCGACACGTGGGAGGCGGCGAGCTGCGTCCTCCACGCAGCCCGGGGCCCGGTGGCCGGAGGTGACTCTCCTGCGCTCCGGGCACCCGGGCTCCCTTCTTGTAATGAACTCGACGCGCGTCCCGCCAGCCCGGCCGCCCCTCCCTGCGTCCCCGTCTGGCGGCGGCGGGGGAGGAAGGCGAGGCTCCCGGGGTGCGGGGGGCGCGGGCCGGGTGACGTGGGCGCCGCGGCGGGAGGGGCCGGCCGGGGGGCGCGGGGCCGCCTTATGAGCGGCCGGCGGGGGCGCGGGCGGCCAGCACACGGCGGCGCGTCCGGGAGCAGAGCCGGCCGCCGGCGCCCTCCCGCCTCCGCCGCCGCCGCCCCGCGCTCCTCCCGCCCCCTCTGCGCGTGCGGCCGCGGCGCCCTCGCTCGCTCGCTCGCCTCTCTCTCCCGCTCGGCTCCGGCTCGCCCGCCCGCCGACGCTTCCCAGGGCGCCCCGGCCTTCTCGGCGCTCCCCCTCGGGCACCCGCCTCGCCGGCCGCGGCCCCTGGGCTGTGCCGGTGTGCGCGCCTCGGAGCAGAGGGTCGGGGGGTCGGGCTAGGAGCTCACGTTTCCTTCTCACTCAAGCAAGGCACAGGAGGGCGTTTTGTTTATATTCTGCTCGGGTATTTTTTTTTTTTAAATTTTTTCCACTCCCGTTATTTTATTGTTTTTTTTCTCTTTTGAACTTATTTTTTTGGGGGGAGGAGGGTTGCTCTGGGCATCGCTCTGCCCAGTAGTTGGAAAGGGCACTGGACTCGGGATGGTTCGCCTGTCACTTTGGTTGATAGCAGCCGCTCTGGTAGAGGTTAGGACTTCGACTGATGGACAAGTAAGTGGAAAATAATAACAATACAAAAATCAAACCCAACCTTTCCCCATCCCCAAAGTTCCTCCCCTTTCCCCGCTGGTCTTTTCCCCCTCCTCCACCCTCCCTTGTTATCTTCCCTGCCTGGAAGGGTGTTCTTTTTTGGGGGGAGGGGGTAGGGGTGTCGGGAAAAGTTGAGGGTGGTCGGCTTGTCCCACCTGGGACTAACCTTCTCGGCGGGACGGGGAGCCACCCGCAGCCCCTCCGCATTCTCTGTGCGCGTCTGGACGCATGAATGAAGTTGTGGGCGCCGCGTTCCGGCGTCCCTGGGCTGCGGCGGCTGCAGCGTGAGCCGGGCTCCCGGGGCTGTCTCTGCTCCTGACTCACGGCTTTTTTCGGGCGGCGGGAGGCGGGAGTTGTAGGAAGTCCTGGGGCTGGACAGGGAGCAAGCGATCCGGTCGACACGTGTCCTAGGAGGACCGCGGCGGGGCTGGAGTTTGACAGTTGGGGCGGGGTTGGGGTGGGCGGCCGGGGACGTTTCCTGTCCGGCGTTTTTCTGGGCTGAGGTTTGGAGGAGCTGGCCGCCTCCCATCCCCCGCCAGGGGCACAGCTGCTCCTCCCCCTCCCCCCTTAAAGCCGAGTTGAGTGCCGGCCTGTTCCTTTAGGGCCCTGCCCCCATTAGACCCAAGGTGAAGCCCGAGGGTCTCCTAAGCGCCCTTGGTGGGGGCTGGGACTGGAGAACCGCTGGCTGCAAACCCCATCGGCGCAGGGCCCTGGTGCAGAATCTTTTTTTTTTTTTTGGAGTGAGATTTGCAGCTTCTCCGGTGTGCCTGCCCTGGCCTTAGGGGCACACAGCAGGGGTTTCTCTAGTTGATGGGGGACCTACCACCTGGTGAAGCAGGCTCCTTTCTCCCTGTGCGACTTCACAGCCTTTTTTTCTGGCATCCGGGCTCAGGAGCTCAAAAGAGATCCTGAAGGGTCCGTGTGTAGTTTGAATGGCTTTGTCAGTACTAACTTAAAGTAAAAACTGGCAAACAGCCGTCTTCTCTCAGTAGTTACTGAATTGGCTTCCTTCCCAAGAGCCTTGTCCACACCAAGGTGCCGCCTTCAGACTGCAAACTCCGGCTCCAGCGTCTCCTGATTAGCTAGCGCTAAAGAAGCAGGAGTGGTGGAAACGAGACGCACCGGTGATAAGATGAAACCTAGTAACTGTTTCTTTTTCTTGCCCCCCCCCCCCCTTCCCTTCCAGGCTGGTCCTGAAGAAATGGTGCGCATAGGTAAGCTTCATTCTCACATGTCGCTCTTATCTGAGTTGCAAGTAGAGAACGCAGCAAGCTAAGCGAAACATTATTTCTGACAGTTTTCCCTTTGGTGGGTAAAAAAATAATCCGTAGTCCAGGAACATTTCCACTCCTCACTTCCTCTTCCTGGACAAGGGCTGCGCTTTGCTCAGGTTACACTGCAGTGATGTGAAATCCTCCTGCTGTTGGCCTTCTGGAGCATCAGTTGGTTTGTGCCTTCCTAGGAGCCAGTGGTATGTGCTTGGAGGACAATGAAAGGGCTGCAGGAAGACGCGGAGGAAATCAGCTTGGGCATCCACTGTTGTAGCCTTTGGAGAATCAGATCAGATTTGAGTAAAATGTTACAAAGAGGGCCAGCGGGATACAGAGCTTGGCAAGTTTTCACCTAAACGTTTTCTTGCTTTGATCGTATCTCTGATTCCATTTTCCTGAAAATAATTCTAGTGTGTGAGGTGCTGTTAGCTCTTTTGCAAATAAAACTCGAAGCTTCAGTTCTATGCTAAGGGGACTAATAGTCCCATTTTATGGGTGAGTAGACTGAGATTCAAAAGGGTGTAAGGGAAATGTAACAGAACATTCCAAAGTCCATGGTCTTTTGAGGAGTTAATTGTAATAATGTATTTCTGCTGAGTGTGGAGGCTGAAAGGTAGCAAGACGCCAGGCTCCATTCAGGGTCTCTTATGCACACCTGACTTGGATTACTTGGAAATATAGACATTTTGCTTTTTGGTCACGTGTCAGTTCTGTATTTGCCGGGTGAAATCCTTAAGTCTTTTAGGAGGAAAGTTTTTATTACTGCCGTTATGACGAGTAGCATGTCGTGGGCCATTTGCTAAATGCAAGGCAGAGAACGGGCTCATTGCTTTCTGTGAATGATGGCCCCTTCTGATGCCTACAGCTGTGTAAGGGAGGGATTCCATCGTGCCTCTCTCCTGGAGGGGGGCAAGGGGTGGCTGTATGGCTACTTGCTATAGTAGGAGGTGGAGATTCATGCTTGTGTACTGATGGAAGGGGGCCCTGGGGTAGGGGTGGGGGGCAGAATAAGACCCAGAGGTGGGTACTGATGCTCCTTAACTTACAGTGGCCTTACATCCTGAGAAGCCCAGCCCATTGTGAGTTGAAAATATTACAGGGATGATGTATTTTTAGCTTACCTCGTTTGCTGAGCACCCGGACTTGGCAGTGCAGTAGACTGCAGCATTTGTAGGGGTGAGTGGTTTCCCCTCCTCCTTGGGAGTTGTAGCTGCTGCCACTGCCAGGCGTCGCAAGGGAGAATCGCAGCGTGTATCATGAACCTGGGAAAAGATCAAAACTTGAAATGTGAACCACAGTTTCTGCTGACGGCATATGGCTTTCACACCATCGTGCAGTTGAAAAGCTGTCTGTGCGTCGCGTACCACGCTTGAGCATATGTCACGATGCTTCTTCCCACTCAGTGCTTAACTTTGTGGATCACAAATCCAAGTGTAGACCCGAATGGCAAGATCAGAACCAGAGCAGAAAGGGACTCGGAGCGAAAATGCTGCATCTACAAGGAGAGGTTTGTCGCTTGCAGTCACGAGCATTGGACCAGCAATCTAAATCTTTTTAAAGATTTTGTTTTAAAAAACAACCCCCCAAAAGTGAATAAAGCTGAACTACCTAAGTTTGAGTATTTCACCACCTTTGCAACTATACCTTGAAATGTAAAATGTAGAAAAAAAAATTTTTTTAAATTTCATTCTACCAAAGTAATATTCAAAAAAAGGAATGTATTCCAGTCATCACATTTTGTAACGATTGTTTTTCATTTTACGGTTGTGAAGCTGTAGGGCTTTTCTCCACCGCTAGCCCTCCATCCCTGTTGTCCCCTCTGTTTTACACTGATACAATCCTTCAGCTGTGGTACCAACTCCAGCATCTACCTGTGTTGTGACTTCATAGGTAGAGTCTAGTATCTTGTTTTCAAGGTACCTTTGACAGTTTTCTTGGGGATCTATGTTTAGAGATGCTATGATAGCATCTTCAGATGGAATCTGGATGCTCTTAGTGCGAGGCCTCAGAGCGTCGGTGTAGTCAGTTTGTCAATGCTAATTGCTCTCAAAGTCTTTTATTTTGCAGGGGATAAAAACAGCATAGCTGTGCTTAAATTTGGCAGGAAGGACACGGGTCAGCCCCATGGAAAAAGTAGGACAGGGAGTTAGTGAAAGATGCGTTTGTCACCGCAGTCCTCTTTCATAGGCTTTATTGCTTTACCTTCCTTTTTATTTACTGATTTCAAGTTGATTAAAGAGGCAAAAAGAGTGTAGACTTTGTTTTCTGATGACAGAAGTGTATCCATCACTGGACCTTGGGCTATAATGACCCATGCAGCTCTGAGGGGGAATTCGTGAACATTATGTTTAAGAAAAACTTTCCTGCACTGGTGGACTTGTCAGCCCTGTCCCCATGTGCCACTGGTGGATTTGTCAGCCCTGTCCCCATATACACTAAACCTGGAGGCTTGTTTCGCAATAATTGATTTAAAGGTTGTTTTGTATAGCTGCATAGAGGTGAGAAGACTAGTAAGATTTTTTTTAAAGATTTATTTTTAGTATTTTTTCATTGGAAAGGCGGATATACAGAGAGGAGAGACAGAGAGGAAGATCTTCCGTCTGATGATTCACTCCCCAAGTGAGCACAACGGGCCGATACTATGCTGATCCGAAGCCAGGAACTTCTTCCGGGTCTCCCACGTGGGTGCAGGTTCCCAAAGCCTTGGGCTGTCCTCGACTGCTTTCCCAGGCCACAGGCAGGGAGCTGGAAGGGAAGCGGGGCTGCCTGGATTAGAACCGGCACCCATATGGAATCCCGGGCGTGCAAGGCGAGGACCTTTAACCACTTGCGCCACCGCGCCGGGCCCGACTAGTAAGATTTATAGATTTTATTTTTATTGCTAAAATATTGACCAGAGACAGTTCCATAGTTATGAATGATTTCTGGACAGTTTAATTTCTCAGGAAGGGAAAAACATCCATTAGAGATCAACCCAAATGGTGTGGAAGTTAAGTTCCCAACAGTGCTTTGTGTTGAACCGCAGATACAGGTGGGGTGGTCCGTGTCAGTGCTCGCCTTGCTGCTGCCGTGCAAAGGGAGTGCTCTGTGGCAGTGACACCTGCATTAATACAGGGGTCATAGCTCACATCCTTCCACCCATTTCATGCCGCGTGCCCAGCACTCTGAACTCACAAAAGGTAACCACTCTCCTGATTTCTAATAAGCTAATATTGCCAGAATTTTGTAAATAGAAATAAGGACTTTTTCATTATTTTTAAAAATTTATTTATTTCTATTGGAAAGTTAGATTTACAGAGACAAGGAGAGACCGAAAGAAAGATTTTCTGTCTGCTGGTTCACTCCCCAAGCAGCTGCAATGGCTGCAACAGCCAGAGCTGAGCCGATCAGAAACCAGGAGCCTTTTTCCAGGTCTTCATATGGTATAAGGTCTCAAGGCTTTGAGCCATCCTCTGTCGCTTTCCCAGACCACAAGCAGGGAGCTGGGTGGGAAGTGGGGCCGCTAAGACACGAACCAGCATCCTTATGGGACCCCTGCAGTGGCGAGGGGAAGATTTAGTCATTAGGTAATTACACCAGGTCTGTTAGACTCCCTTTATGTGTATCACTCTTTCTCTGTGTGTCATGGGGAACACATTTGAAGGTAACATGATATACTACAGCCTTTAAAAAAAATTCCTTATGGGAGAAGTCAATTTCTTATGGGGCAGGAGAGAATGTACAATTATCCATCATCTATGTGGTGTCTCCCATGGGATATTTGCTGCTTTCTTTCTCTTTTTATCCAGTGGGAAAATACCTTCATGGTTTGTGGACCATTATGATTCACCCTAGAGAAAATGGGCAAATAGGTTTTGAATCCTGACCTACCTCTGTGCCTGTTAACTTTCTACCAACCCGTCTTCCTGCCTATACATATATTTATCCATGTTTGGATGTGTTTGTAAATGTATGTTTCCTGAGAGCATTCGTATATTTCTGGGGTATTATCAGGCAATTCTTTCATTTCTAGCACAGAATACGGCCCAAGTGGGATGCCAGGGGGGATTGTGGGCAGCTGGCTGGCTAGCCTAGTTGAGGAGGCAAACTGGCTCTACAGCACTATATGTAGTGTAAGACATAATCTGAGCCCTATAGCAATTGGAAATTTGTACCAGGTAAGATTTGACTCAGTACATAAATTGTCCAATGTTGTGACCTTAATAAGTCAAGTTTCCTACAATTTTTTGGTGCTTATTTAGTAAACATGTTTTTTTATTTTTTTAACTTTAAAGTTTCATTTATTTGCTTGCTTATTTATTTGAAAAGTGACCGCAAGAAAGAAAACATACACAGAGAACTTCCTTCTGCTTGTACACGTCCTAAATGCCTCTAGTAGCTGTGATTGAGGCAGGCAGGAGCCAGAAACTCCATTTGGATTTTCCGTGTGCATAGCATGAATGCAGGGGCTGGAACCTTGCCTACTGCCTTTCCAGGTGTGCACCAGGAGGAAGACAGCTGGGAAGACAGGCCTTGATTGCAGCCACCCAGATGTGGGATATGGGCCTCATTATTGGCAGCTTGAGCTACTGTACTGCCATGCCCATCCCAGTAGATATGTTCTCATGTTCATACACTTGAATAAAAATGATTGAAATCCTGAATCATAAGAGCTTGTTTTCCTTCCCTCACATGTAGAAGCACCTGTTTTTCGCATGTAAATTCCATTCTCTAAAGTTTAAGCCGTTGTGTCCACTAGAGGACCTATTAATATTTGTGATGTCTTTTCCGTCATGTGGTGAGAACACAGACTATAGACTGTGTGGTTTAACATCCTGACCTTAATAGTTTGTCTGACCTTGATGAACAGAGTGTGTAACTCATAGGCATAATGTTACTACCGCAGTCAGACTGTGTTGATGCTTACGCGAGGATTCAGAAAATGCTGCGCCTTGGTAAGCAAG